TCCCCACACTTCGTCCCGCGGCTTCCATGGCAAATTGGATTCTGTATTCCGAGAAACGGCGTATGGAGTCAGGCACCGCCGTCGCGGGAGGACGAATCAATCTTGTCCTCAGCAAGGACGTCGGCAGCGATCGCCACACGACTATCACATGAAAAACGCTTGTGTTTACACTACCGAGGAAGACTAGCAAAACTAGACCCTACAAAACGAACCGACCCATACACCGGGACAAATCTCTTTCCATAGTTTTATCACTTGGAGTGCATTGTGTGGTAAAATGAAACATGATCCGTCCATTTTTTTATCTTTCCATACAACTTTAGTCAATTTAATGCTAAACTAAAATTGAATTAATGAACAAATAAGAAACTAAATTTCAAAAACTCAGAGAGGAAAGATAAAATGTTTGAACGTAATTTTAAACATGTCTTGGTAACTATCACCAATGATCCGTGAGTCAACAATATTAATACGAAATATCAAGACCTAATAGTCAAACGATATCTCCAAAAGAGCCGCGATAAACTAATCTGTCAATCGCTCTTAGTGTAACAACTCTCATTATGATCGTTTCGAGTCAAGTAACAGAGCTTTTGCACAGCGATATACGCCCTAGCCCGGCACCGTCATTCAGCGAGCTGTAAGAGGCCAAGCCGCGCAGAGGCCGCGCCTTGGAGCCCCGGCTGGCACGGAGCGGCGTAGGGTCGGTGCAGTCGCGGGCGCTAACGACACCCTCGTGCACTTTCGCTGCGCCGGCGGCGACGGGGGAACCGCTTATCGCTGCCGGGGTCGGGGCGCCGCCCGCAACGCCCTGCGCGCGCCAGCCGAAAGGTCGCTCAGGCGGCGCGGCGGCGCACCGAGAGGAGGGCGCGAGCTCAATTGGCGCGGCGGCTACATTCACATTCATTATGCAATTTCATTCTTGTTGCTTGATACTTTTTACTGAGTCACAGTTAAATTATTCAGTTCAATCAATCCGCAACATTTAAAAAAATAAATCACTTAGTACTACTGGCATTACTGATTCAAATAACACAATCATATTTTACAAGTTGTTTTGAGTACTACTAGCAAATCTTATTTTCTCACTATTTTCACATACGTTTACATTCTAATCTGATGTCACAACGTTTGAGACGCACAAATACATCAATCAAACAATCTCGTAATTGGAACTTGTTTCTTAATGAATTATAAATTCACCTTAGTCTAGACGAAATCGTAACTACCATTCCACAAGGAAGTGTAATAGTCCCTTCCCCATTCCGTACCTAAAGGCGATTTCTTGTCCTTCTCATTGATAGAAAGCACTGAAGCCCGGCAGCCCCACCTAAGGCTTTACTCTTATTAATCCGGATCAATACCGCGAAGACCGCGGTGCCCTTCCACCCCTGGCCGCTCACTTCCCGTGATTGGATCTGTCGCCAATCTTCCAAAACCTCCACCCTCCGATCCCCCAAATCCGTGTGCCCCCACGGCTCTCGTGTTACCGAAAAAACGAGATTATCGGATTACTCCGCATCTCGATGGGCCCGGGCGATTTCCAAGAAAACCCGAATCGGCGCCAAGTTTTTGTGCTCGAGCCTCCGTCCGCGTCCCGAAACTCGGCCTCGCCGCCCTCGCCGTCCCCGGCGCATGTGAGTTTCCTCCTCTATTATCGTTGGCTCCCCAGAGGAGGGGAGCCGCGGCCGGAGGGGGGCGTTGCCAGGGCGCCATTGTGGACGCGGTGCAGGGCGCAGACAAAAAACGACAGGAACCGCGGGGCGGCGCGGGCGCGAGACCTGTCACGAGGGGAGGGGGTGGAGGGGAGGGAGAGGACGCGCCGCGGTGACGCCGAGCTGGAAGCCCGCACCTGCTAGCGCGTGAATCACCGCCCGGCGGCCTGCGGCGAGATCGGGTTGCTAGGGTTTCCTGGGAGACACTGCGGCAGAACATTATGTGAGTGAGCACAGAAGCATCATTAAGCCTCTTAATGGTGCTTGGGCTGCTTTTCGTCGATGACCTAGCTGCTGAATCTGAGTTGTTTTCTTTTGACTCTTGAAACGAATACAATTTTTTTATCAATACATTAAGAGGAAATCAACTTTTTTCTTTTGTTATTTAAGGTCGCATCAACATCTAGGCCATTAGCGACCACTATTGCATTTAACGGTATAGCCACTATGAAGATGACATGATATGGTGATGATAGGAGTGAAAGGTCAAATAAATACAACAATGCTCGGAGCAGAACTCGAACCCGCGATACGGCAGTACTGCCTGAACGATCTCGGCCAACCGGACTGGCAAATCAACTCTTTCTACCACACAACTCATCATATATCATTCCATCATCAAAAAACCTAATTGGAATTTTAAGAAGCCTATTTATTAGTCATTTTCAAAAAACGCAATAAATCAAACATTTCTATACGTTATTCACTACGTCATCCAGAAAAGAACGCTCCTATACATCTAATGTAAATTGTTGAGGTCGATAATATTAATTGTTTAGCTTTGTTTAAATAATGTAAACAAAGTTTGACAAATACTATTCTTCAGGGTTCAAACCGATCCTAAAATATGAGCTACAGTGAAAGGGGTTTAACCCTCTCACCCCGTATTGATAGATCCTTAAAACTTCCCACGAAGCACAGAGAACGGATCCTGAACTTAACGCAACCCGGCTTGATCCGCTCCGACCGCAGTCTCAGGTGCTCTCCGCGAAAGGAAAAGGGCGTGAACTTTGGCGCCCGCTTCCCACCGACGCGCAAAACTAGTCAGGCCCCTCCTGCGGTTGCTCTTCCCCAGCCATCATCGGCCGCGTTGCATCCAGTTCAACAGTGGGATGGCCTCGCCACGCCGCGCTGGTAAGAGGACGGCGGCTGGAACGCAATCGCCCGCCGTCGTCGTCTCCGCCGGGGCTGATCTTAAATGGAGAGGAGCAGCTTTCTTCACAAAGGGCACGCGGCGGGATTCGATCACGATTCCCGCGCGCTGAGGTGGGCGGGCGCGCGGTGCGCCGATCGCTGAACGCCGCGGTCCGGAAAGGGCAGCGCGGGTATCAGGCCGCAGCCATCTGGGCGGGTCTCGCGCCGCACAACGGGCCAAACCGAAAAATTAAACATAACAGTCAATATGTAACGATTTACGCTTTTTTTCAGAATTTTTGTTTACATTGAACATTTGATAATTGTTATGAAAAATGTTCGAGTGTCCTTGAAATAACACTAGTTCTATCGACAATCCAAGAGACAAATAAGATCATTCCCTTTTCTCATGCCATGCTTTAACGTAATCCCTGAACATTTTCTTACGTTCATTTATAATTGGCTTTGAATTATTACTAATTATACTAATTATCAGATTTAATGTTCATAAAAAGTCAGATTCAAGTCATAAAACTTGAATTTACATCAGAGTGTGCCTCGACATACCGCACGTCCGAGGAAGCAGTTTGGCATAGATTTTGTGTGAAATACAATATGTGTTCAGAATGTTGACGTGCTGTACATAAGAGTTTTAAATCATTAAAAAATGATTAATTTACAGTTGCGCTTACAAAAATATTGAATACGCGCATTATTGATTTACCTCCGAAAATGGAACGGCTCCCAAATGTATATATAATCCAGTTACAGAAGAGTGAGTTATGTTGAAATAACAGAAATACGTTTCTTGTTTGCTTCGTACGATGCGTTTTTTTTT